CTCCATACCATGAACATCCGGCCATGTCAAATGGACATCTCCATTTATACTGCTTCACACATCACTCACAGGACAAGTTGCCACAAAGGCCTCTTTTGTTCTCCTGTCCGTCCACCCAAAGGAAACCAGTTTCCAAACTATGCACAGGTTTGTAGAGCAAGATGAACTCGTTAGACACTGGATACAGAAACAAGCAGGAAACCCAGCCCTGCCTCCTGTTTAACAAACGAGTGTCTGACCCATGTAATAAAATTGCAGGCAACAGAATTCTCTGCATTCTAAGAATATTCTAATGAGAAAGTTTATCACATTCATGTTACAGTCATCATTCGAAGTCATTCTCTTGTTCCCATTATTAGAGTGAATGGGGCAAAAGGAAAGTGAGACATTCTAGGCAACAGAGGCCGCGAGAGGAAATGATCAATGTGCTCTCGTGCCAGCTCTTTCTTAGCAAGCTTTGTACGGGCACAAGTGTGAGGAGGCGAGGGGTGTGTCCGGTAAGCACACATTTCCGATCCTGGCAGTATTCAACAGGTGACACTATGGAGGCATGCTGAACTTATTTTCCATCCGTGTCAGGAGGCAAGGACTCTCCATGCTTGCTGGCAGTGGCGGTGTTGGTTTTTGCCCTGTTCACAATGCACACATACCAGAGTCCACCTTTCCCCATCGAGTTAAACTGAACCCTAACTTCACAGCTTCGCTTTGGGTTTCTAAACATCTACCCTTGAAACGTTTCCTCTCTGAATACGTGCCTTGGTCAGACTCTTTCACCGGTGTAGCCAAGCGCTGTTCACCAGGTGATCTCAAAACGCAGTATCCAATGACCTCCAACAGAAACTGTATTGTTTGTGAAATTAAAGAAAGGAAACAAAGCAAATGTAAAATGGCCTTATTATTCTGACAATAAGCAAAAATCAGGTTTCAGCGGCCAAAGTAATTCTGAGTAAGCAGTTAGTGAAAACATGCAGTCAAGGTCCTGAATCAAACAAAGATCTTATAAGACATAAAATGATCATGGAAAACTTGGGATATGTTTCCAATTTTCCTGCCTTGTTTATTTCCCAACAAAGTTTGAGAAAATGAGAATAAAATATGTTTTCTTTCACTAAACCTCTCTCTTTTTTTTTTTTTTACCACATAGACTTATTTTCTGCTTTAAAAGAAACCAGGTGAGCAAGGTTAACTTTTTTGAAACATTCTTCTATTCATGAGAATACAAAAGGATTGCATTGAATAATTAAATGCTTTCTTTTAACTGTTTCTCACCAGCCCTGCTTTCTCAGCTTCCGTGTTCTCTCCTTTCCCTACACCAGTAACTCAAGACAGCCGGGTTCCCAGTCTCATTCCAGCTCCCTGCTAGGATTTGAATTGTTGAAACAATAGTCTTAAAATATGAATTGGGTTTTCTCTTACTATTACATTTTTATTATGGTATAATTTTCATGTAATCACATGTACCTATCTGAAGTGTACGGGTTGGGTTTTGAATAAATGTACACATCAGGATCAATAGGAAGGGCATTTTCTTTCTTTTTAAAATAAATCTATTTATTAGGGGCTCTTAACTGTTATTATCAATCATATCAAGCACATTTGTACATATGTTGCCATCATCATTTTCAAAACATTTTCTTTCTACTTGAGCCCTCGGTATCAGAACCTCTTTTTTCCCCTCCCTCCTCTCACCTACCCTCGTGACCCCTTGATAAATTATTATTATTTTCATATCTTTACACAGTCTGCTGTCTCCCTTCACCCACATTTATGTTGTTCATTCCCCTGGGGGGTGGGGGGCTGTTATATGTCCATCATTGGGATCGGTTACCCCCTTTCTGCCCTTTCTCCCCCCACCTTTCTGCCTAACCTGATGGTATCACTACTTCCATTATTGTTTCTAAGGGGCTTATCTTCCCTGGTTTTGGTGTATCAAGAGTCTTATCTGTGCCATTGTACATGCTCCGGTCTAGCCAGATTTGTAAGGTATAACTGCGCTCATGATAGTAGTGGGGTGAGGGAGGGAGGAAGCATTAAACAACTAGAGGAATGCTGTGTTTTTCGGTGGTGCTATGCTGCAACCTGGCTGACTCTTCCCTTCCTTGTGACAGGGAGGGCATTTTCAAAATATACTTGCCAGGAGATTCAAAAGGTTTTTTTAGTACATTGCCTTATAAAGAACCAAATCAAATGAGTCATGGATATCTAAATTTATAAACCAAAACCACACATACTGCCATGAGTCAATTCGGACTCAAATCAGCTCTACTATATAGGGTTTCTGAGAGTGCAGCTCTTTACTGGAGCACACAGCCTCCTCACCTTTCTTCCAAGGAGTGGATGTCAGGTTTGAAGCACCAACTTTGCAGTTGGCAGCCCAATATTAAGTATGGGACACAGATTAAAATTAGATTATTGTCTTAATTAAAATAAATTTTTCATGTGCCTATTTCGTGCATTTATCTATACTTATTCTATGGGTGAAATTTTCAACTGATTTTTCCATTTGTTTTTAAGAAAATAAACGCAAAACTGCATGATGGAGTATGTCAGCGCTGTAAAGAAGTTCTTGAATGGCGTGTAAAATACAGCAAATACAAACCACTATCAAAACCTAAGAAATGGTGAGTTTCCTAATTATCTTATCCAACCCACTGCCACGGAGTGGATTCTGATGCATACTGACCCCATAGAGCAGGCATCCTCCAACTACGGCCCGCGGGCCACATGCGGCCCGCCGAGGACATTTATCCGGCCTGCCGGGTGTTTTTGCCCCATTTGTTTTTTTACTTCAAAATAAGATATGTGCAGTGTGCATAGGAATTTTTTCATAGTTTTTTTTTAAACTATAGTCCGGCCCTCCAATGGGTCGGAGGGACAATGAACTGGCCCCCTGTTTAAAAAGTTTGAGGACCCCTGCGCCATAGAGCATAAGTTACCAAGCTTATTTTGCCTGATGCCCCTTTTTCAGCAAAAAATTTTTTCTCAGCGCTCCCCTGGTAACTAAACACTTTTATACTATAGCTCACAATCCAGGATAAAGTGTAGGAATCTACTTTGATAACCTCCTCCCTACTCCCACCCATGTTGGCATAGTGGTTATGCATTGGGTTGCTAACTACAAGGTCAGCAGTTTGAAACCACTAGCTTCTCCACTGGAGAAAAATGAGGCTTTCTACTCTTGTAAAGAGTTCCAGTTCCAGAAACTCCTAAGGGCAGTTCTACCTCATGTTACAGAGCCACTTGTGCTATCGGGTCGCTATGAGTCAGACGGAATCCCTGTACTGAAGAGAATCTGGTTTATTTGGTGGCTGTTTCAGCACCCTTCCCCACAGGGGATGGTCTCACCCACTTTGGGAGAGACTGCATTAGGGGTCCCCAGGCAGTAAATCTTCACTGGAGCAGGCAGCTACATCTTTCTCCCCAGAACAGCCTTTCTTGCCCTTATTAAACGTTGCTTACGCAGCATCACCGGGGCTTCTTAATTAAAATGGCAAATGTATACCCGTTAAAAGCAGGACTTATATACTATGAAAAATAAGCATTTTAGGCCAAATAAATTGCGCAAACTAATGTCCTCAAACAAATTGCTACATAGATTGACTTTTAGTCGCAAGCATACTGACCTAGTTTTCAATAAAAACAAACACCAAAGGTTTTTGTCAGGGTTGCTTTTATCATATTTTATTTTATTCCCATTTCAAAATTGTGCAAAAAAATTTGGGACTAGACGGAGAAACAATTTGTCTTCTGTGTAGAACTTCAGTATTACAGGTTGGAATCCTCGCTGGTGAAGGCAAATAAACTGTCAAAGTGGGCTTTCATCCCTTGCTCTATTCTCCCATAGGGAAAGACGCACCATTTCCATAGAAATGTACTCCTAAGCGGTAGGGTAGAGGAAAGAAGAGAAAGCCAAAATTCTCTCTATGATCTACTTTAGAGTGTACATAAAGTGTGGAAGGCCAGTCTAAATAATAAATATAATATAGTTTAAACCTTTGCTCCTTGTTTTTATAGCAAAATTATGTCAACCATGTTGTGAATCCAAAACTCAAACTCTGTGGTAAATTGTTTGTTTGAGATTTAACTACTTTAAGAGTTTTAATTTCTGCAAATTATTTTGCCTAGGATGCTTAGTTTAATACTGTGTAAGTATTAAATACTGATTTTTAACTTGTGCTAATTTACATTTTAAACATCAAATCAGATTTACTCCTTGAAGATTTTTTGAAGCTATATTATATTTAGAAGCTAAAACAAATGTGTTATTTAAATCACCAAGAACTTTGTCTTATGGAAGTTAAAGAAAGCCTTAATATAAATTAAAAGATTAATGTTGGTTGTTTAGATTTTTCCCCTTTCATTACTACTGGCAGCAGGAGTGGTGGTAGGGTGAGAAGAGGGAGGGCATACGGCCTCTTTGTTTTACGTCATAAGAGAGGAGAATCAAGATCATTGTCAGCCCAAGGGTGCTTCCTGTGAGGTAGGGGGTGAGACCAGCCACCTCTGTCCATCCTTTTTTTTTCTTGTACATCCATTTTTACTAATCCTGGCCACCTCTCCCTTGGTACTCTATTTCTCTGCTGGATTTGATATTTTATTGCAGTGGCTACAAATAAATTACACGCCATACTCACAAATATGGGGTGTGTTAGGGAAGTAACAGGTTATAATTTGGGATCAGGATCAGGAAGCAGGTAGGTCAAGTTGCCCTTCTTCAATGCAGAACTGTCCTAGCTCCTCTCAGCTCCCTGAGGACAAACTCCTATCAGCCCCTGGAGGACAGCTCCCCTCTCTCTGTCCTGGACCCTTGGGTCTGCTTGGACAAGCATTAGTTTCTTCACTATGTGCCTGGAGGCACCCAACTCCAGCAGGAAGCTCTGGCCCCAAGACAGTTAGCTCTCTCACTTCCTAGGTCAGTAGGGTATAGTTTTGTCAGGTGTGTGGAGGTACGCTTTTTGTTTTTTTAAAATCATTTCATTGGGGCTTATACAACTCTTTTTTTTTAATTATTTTTTTAGGGGATCATACAACTCTTATCACAATCCATACATACATCAATTGTGTAAAGCACATTTGTACATTCATTGCCCTCATCATTCTCAGAAGGGGCTATATACAACTCATCACAATCCATACATACATTGGAGCACATTTGTTACCATCATCATTCTCAAACATTTTCGTTCTACTTGAGCCCTTGGTATCAGATCATTTTCCCCCTCCCTCCCCGCGCCCCTCCCACACGAACCCTTGATAATTTAGAAATTATTATTATTTTTTCATGTCTTACACTGACCAATGTCTCCCTTCACCCACTTTTCTGTTGCCTGTTCCCCAGGGAGGGGGTTATATATAGATCATTGTGATTGGCGATCATTGTGATTGGTTCCTCCTTTCTTCTCCCACCTTCCCCTTCCCCTCTCAGTATCACTACTCTCATTATCAGTCCTGGGGGTTTACCTGTTCTGGATTCCCTGTGTTTCCAGTTCCTATCTGTACCAAGGTACATCCTCTGGTCTAGCAGGATTTGTAAGGTAGAATTGAGATCATGATAGTGGGGGAAGGAAGCATTTAGGAACTAGAGGAAAGTTGTATGTTTCATCATTGCTACATTGCACCCTGACTCGCTGGTCTCCTCCCTGTGGCCCTTCTGTAAGGGGATGTCCAGTTGCCTACAGATGGGCTTTGGGTCCCCACTTCGCACTCCCCTCATTCACGATGATATGATTTTTTTGTTCTTTGATGCCTGATACCTGATCCCAGCTTCTTCCACGTGGGCTTTGTTGCTTCTCAGCTAGATGGCCGCTTGTTTATCTTCAAGCCTTTAAGATCCCACACGCTATATCTTTTGATAGCTGGGCACCATCAGCTTTCTTCACATTTGCTTATGCACCAGTTTGTCTTCAGCGATCGTGTAGGAAAAGTGAACAGCATGGAATCCCAGTTTAATAGAACAAAGTGTTCTTGCATTGAGGGGGTACTTTAGTGGAGGCCCAATGTCCATCTAACTTAATACTGAACCTATAAATATATGCACATAGATCTATTCCCCATCCTCATATATAAATATATTTACATATGCACATGCCTTTATTTAGACCTCTATAAATGCCCTTTGCCTCCTAGTTCTTTCTTCTATTTCCTTTTACTTTCCACCATCATGCTCAGCCTTCATTTGCGTTTCAGTAATTCCTCTCAGTTACACTGCCCTTGATCAAGCCCTACCAGGCTTACACCCTCCTCGCCACCGATTTTGGATCACTTGTTGTTCCCTTGTCCCTGGGTTTGTTAACACTACTTCCTTTCCCCCCCTCCCCCCCTCCCATGTCCCCCTAGAACCACCAGTCCCATTATTTGTTATTTTCTCCTCCAGATTGTTTATCCTGCTTATCTAGATAGACCTGCAGAGATAATAATATGCACAAAAACAGAGCAAACCAAGCAACAAAAGAAAACAAAACAACAACTACCAAAAAAAAAAAAGACAAAAGAAAAGAAAAGCCTATAAATAGTTCAAGGTCTGTTTGTTGATCTTTAGGACTGTTTTCCTGTCCAGTCTGATGGGGTACATGCCCTGGCCCCAAAGTCTATTTTTGGTACTCTCTCAGGACCTCCTTGCTCTGCTCCCCTTGCTGTTGTGTTGCATACCCTTAGTGTTTTGTCTTGGTGTAGTGGGGTCAGATCAGGCGCAATTCCCACTGTTTCTCCAGTGTTGTCCCCTGTACCACTATGGGTCAGTGAGGGATGTTGTGTCTCGTAGTGGGACTGATCATATGGTCCATAACGAGATTTGCCTTCAATCGACATTTCACCTTTTTTTGAAATGAGAAAACCACTCATACACTTGAGTTTTTTCCACAGCGTTGTCCTTGATTGTAAGCTGGGTTCAACATGACAACAGTTCCTACAGCATTTTTCCTGAGCAGGAAACAAAATTTCACAACCACGCACTTTTATCTTACGTCAACCATCACAAAAAACTAGGTCTGAACAAAACTGCTTTTAGGTAAAAATTCACTGTAACCAGGGAGAACCTTCCCAGGCAACACCGCTGGATGCACTAACTCTGAGCGAGTTCCTTTATGCTCGCCTGGCAGGAAAAATGCATACTATGGAAGCCCCAATCTGCCTTATTCATTTGGGGGTGAGGGAGCCCCTCGTAGAAGATCAAATATTTATTCTAAAGGGAAAAACCAAAGGAAACCAAGCTCACTGCTATGGAGTTGACGCTGACTCACAGCGACTTTATAGGATAGGCGAGATCTGTCCCTGTGCGTTTCCGAGTCTGTAGCTTCACCGGAATGCAAAGCCCATCCTTTCTCTGAGAAGCTACTTGTGGTTTCAAACTGCTGACCTTGCAATGAACAGCCCACTGAGTAGCCACTATGACAACAAGGCTCCCTAAAAGTACAAGGCTCTCATTTTAATGCAAAAGGAAAAGGAAAACAGTAGCAAATCTTATGCTTAGTTTTCCAAGACTTGTGGACTCAGAGGTCAGGAATTCTGTCTAACCTTGGAGTTATTGAAGTCCTCGGAGATAGGGAAGCTCATGGTGGTGTTGCTACTGTCTAGCCAGCACAGAGACTAGAGCCTACGAGTGAACTCCATTAGCTCAAGGAGA